ATGGTGTCTGCTGCATGGGGCGCTCCTGCTTAAATACTCTATGGCGTCTGAACATTGTCTGTGTGTGTGAGTGAGTAGTTGTGTGTGTGTGTGTGAGTGAGTAGTTGTGTGTGTCTGTGTGAGTGAGTAGTTGTGTGTGTCTGTGTGTGTGAGTGAGTAGTTGTGTGTGTGTGTGTGAGTGAGTAGTTGTGTGTGTGTGTGTGTGTGAGTGAGTAGTTGTGTGTGTGTGTGTGTGTGAGTGAGTAGTTGTGTGTGTGTGTGTGTGTGAGTGAGTAGTTGTGTGTGTGTGTGTGTGTGTGAGTGAGTAGTTGTGTGTGTGTGTGTGTGAGTGAGTAGTTGTGTGTGTGTGTGTGTGTGTGTCGTCATCATCGTCGTCATTGTTTTGTGAGTTTGCTATCACTCAATCACTCCTCAAACAAACTTCTCCATTTAATAGTCCATCCCATCAACACAACCAACACGCAACCAACATTCTTGAGTCCATGTTGTTTCTAGCATCACCATGGTGCAGATGAGAATGATGAGGCGTGAGTGACTGGTGCACGATGTTCTGCAGACAATGCTTGCGCACATCATTGTGTACATCTGGCAGCCACCTCGTTGACTGTTGTCGTCGTCAGTGAAGAGATGTGCAGGGAATTAGAGGGTTAACAGTGGGAGAGTGTGATTGGCGAGAGGAGAAATGAAAAATTACAGGAAAAACAAAGCATTCAACATCAATTTAAAAACAAAAATAGGGAATGAGATGAAAAGATAAATATTCGCAGAAAAGAACGAGAACAAAACACGCCAAACAAAATACCACTAGATCAAAACATGCCAGGCGACACGCAACACGCCAGCTGACAAAAGGACAACAACAGAAGTTAGCAAGAGAAGAGAGGCACTAACAAGTTGAAGCAGCTGGCTGAGCAGCACAGTGGCTCGCACGCAAACATGTCTGCTGCTCGTTATTATCGTTTCCGTCAGGGCCTGGTGGGTTGGATGACGTCATGTGAGGTCAGTGAAGGTATCGTCGTCGTCGTCATCATCATCATCACCGTCATCATCAGCATCACCATCATCATCATCACCACAATCATTTTAAGCGTAGTTATCGTCATCATCAATAAACTCATCATAAGATTTCATAACATGTAAAGGAGTTTAATTGAAAGTTTCGAAAAGTGAGCCACTAAGTTATGAAACGAACCAGCAAAACTATGTTTTCGAAATATTTGCATGAGAATATTAATCGTTTGTCAGTTGCTGTGCAGTGTATGGATTAATAGCAAATTGAATGATTGAATGGTAATCTGAGTGACTGACAGATGAACAGATGATTGATTGAATGAATGAATGACGTGAACTGACCTCAACCAGTCCAACTTGGAAGAAGCAAGCAAGTATGAAGGCCATGTGGTTGTCCAACAAGTTGATTCTGTTGTTGTTGTTGAATTGTTGTTGTGTTGTGTTGGTTGGTTGTTGGCTGCATTTGCATGAACCTCATTATTTTAAAACTCAATGTTTTAAAATATATTTATTTAAATTATATAGTCTTACTATATAATAACTTAGTTACGCATCTAACAACTTACTACGTATCTATCTAGCGTACAATATTTTTACAATATTTATCGTATGTCACAGATCCATCACACAATCGCATATTTACAATCCGGAAAGCTGAGTAGATGACTAAACAGCTACTACGCCAACGACATTTTGAAAAAATAAACAAAACAAAAACAAATCAACACAGGGGCGTAGCGAGAGACCCAGTCTGTTGCGTGAAGGTGCACCCCACCCAGTCAACAACACAACAACGACAACAACACAGCAACAACAACACAGCAGCAGCAACAACACAGCAGCAACAACAACACAGCACCAGCAGCAACAACACAACAGCAACAACAACACAGCAGCAGCAACAACACAGCAGCAGCAACAACAACAACAACCTGGTCTTAGATACGTGAGGTAGTAAGAGCTTGGCCTCCTCCACGATGAAGCCATTGACGAGCGTGCATGACTCTGGCAGGTACTTCAGGTCGTCGTGATGGCGCGTGGCTTCACATTCATTTTTAAAAAATTATCAAAAGAAACGACACATTTTGGAGTGTTAAATTAAAGAAGATTTCTTTTTTATGCTTTATTATTATGCAGATTATTTAACTATCATCATCATCATCATTATTATTATTATTATTATTATTATTATTATTATTATTATTATTATTAGTAGTAGTAGTAGTAGTAGTAGTAGTAGTAATAGTACTAGTAGTAGTAAAAAATTAATGTAATAGCGCTCTTTAAAGTATGAATATATGGCTGACTATATGAATGACTCACTCGCGACATACGCTGAAACAACATTTACTAGGACAACATTTGATATATAATGATACACGAAATATGATATATGATACCAGGAAATAGTACTAATGATCTGATGGAATGATACATGATATACAATCTCCAACAATAACAATACCAAATGTTATATGGCCGACCGTACAATGATAATATGATACAAGATATACATCTTGTATACATCTTGACCAATCAGGTGATACACTATGATATGTGATAGGATACAAAAATGAGCGATGATACAATTAATAGGTCAGATAGAAACCTAGTTTGTTGAAATCGTCAGTCCACTCGGGAATTTGCAGTCGAAAAACATCGAATATTATATCGAGAATTTCTTTCTGGTGGAGATGAAGATGTTAATGATAATAATCACGATGATAATTACAATGATTACGATGATAATCACGATGATTATGATGATAACGTTAACAACAGAGCGACGACGAACATAAAAACGATAATGAACTGATGACGGGAGTGGTGATGACGATGGTTATGACGTCATCAGTGAACGTGAGTGAGTGGAGGGAGGTGGAATGAGATTGTGCACGTGTCAATTAGGAAACGAACACTGAGGCCAACACTGAAACGCACCTGAGCAGTTAATGAGGATGAATGGCAGCAGGAAAGGAAAATTAAAAAGACACATTAATGACGTTAACATCAACAATAACAACAATAACAGTACGAATGAAGTCGTTTGAATAAACTGACGTAACGATGTTGGATTGAAAAAAAAAAGTTCGAACCCTTGTTTCGTTTGAAGATAACGTCAACATCTTGAACAGCGATTTGATGCCCATCAATGATGATGATGATGGTGGTGGTTGTGATGATGATGGCTGTGATGATGGCTGTGATGATGGTTGTGATGATGATGATAGCTGAGGCCTGCATAAGTAGAGGATGCCGGTCCAAGACTTGAGCATGGCGGTGAGGGCGAGCTTACATGCCGTGAACTTCATGTCGACGTCTGAACTGCGCTCACCATATTTTATTTATTTATCTATTTATTTTTTGACGGTATTAATTTTTAAATAAATTCTTTGAGAATGACAACTGGAACGTTAAACGTGATTTCAACAACCTCATAGTGTAACTTATAAACTGTAAAAAATGTTATTAAAAGATCAGACTTTAAAAACAAATCAACTTTATCACAAATAAAAAGTTTGTTGCAAAAAAAAGATGGTTAACGAGATCTTGAGTTGGATCGGGAAGGTCCTACGCAAAATTAACATTACGCTATTTATTTTTCAAAAAGTCCGCTTTACATTGAAACTATCAAAAACTCTTCAGGCGTTCCATGAGTAAATCCTCAACTCATTAACTTCTTGTAGTACATTAAAGACAATTTCATGTCACTCAAATTCCAACACAAAGACTCTCTACATTGAACGAAGTTGTTGGCTTGATTGACATCACATAACAAGTACTGCAACTATGATGACACAGAAAGCCAGCTGTATTTCAGCTGCGACAGATTTCAATGGAGGCATAGTAGATATTAATAATAGGGGCTAGAGGATTTGGAGGTTAGGGTTATTTTTCAAACTTGTTATTAGTTGGTAAGTTAGCCATAGCTCAAGTGGTAGAAGTGTCGACTGTTGCGACGCTGTTATTGCTCAGTGATCTGGTTCAAACGCTGCCTCAAAACTTTAAAAAGATTATATGCTTTGGTGTGGTTTTTACAATGACGGTACTGAACATTAAGACAACAAAATTCTGAGGATCATCTGTTGCTCTCTCAATCTCAAAAACACAAATGGAAGAATATACTTTACAACCATGGAGACAAATTTTATTCAATTAATTTAATATTGTATTTAAATGAAAATATATATATATATATTTAATTTATTATTGTATTTAAATAAAAAATATGACAAAAACAAATAAGAAATGCAAACACGATACATACTTGAATCTGTCCTTGACATCAATCTCGTCAGCCACATATTGAAGGTCAGTGAACGGGGCGAGCATGTACTGGACAACAACGGGGAAGATGTGATGGATACATGAAGTATGGTGTCAGTGATATCATACTATCGATGTGACTAATGATACAGTAATAAATGATATAAATAGATAGATAGTTAGACAGAAAGATAGATAGACAGACAGACAGACAGATAGATAGATAGATAGATAGATAGATAGATAGATAGATAGATAGATAGATAGATAGATAGATAAATAGATAGATAAACAGATAGATACAAGATATATCCTCTGATTTGTAGCAATAAATATGATTAATAATAAAATAGTATTTGATAGATGCATAACGTTTTACGTGATATAATACTACCAGCATGATCAGCAATAAAATATTATAGGATAGATACAAGATATCATCAATATGACCACTGATAAAATATTATATGATAGATACATGTATAATGTGGCGATATGATACTATATCATCAGATAACGACACAATATGATACATTTATGACAACAATTATTATTAACCATATAACATTCAATCCAAGGTGGGTGGTGGATTCATTATTCTATTATTTTTTTTTAATTTTCACATTGTAAATATATTTTGAAGAACAAAAAATATTATTAGTTTATTTAGATAGTTTATTATTATATATAAAAATAATTTAATATTATATAATAAAATGATTTATTAGTATTTATTAAAATAATTTATTAGTATTTATTAAAATAATTTATTAGTATTTATAAAAATAAATTCATTACAACCAACCTCTAAATCGTAATCGGCTCGAACCAGGGACCTAGAATGGGGGAAGTTGAAAAAATTCAAGATGGCCTCTACAAGAGCCTCGTTGATGTGCGGGTGGCCATAAAAATGTTGGACAGCCCTCAAAATAGTGGTCACCCCTCCAAGTTCGAAAGTCATTTCGGGGTCGAGTATTGCTGTGTGAGGTCAAACAGTTCAATTTTTTAAAATATTCAATGAAATATAATTACAATAAATAAATTGTCATAAAATTAAAAATTGCTAAGTGGTAAAAATTTTGAAAAATGAAGTACATATATCTTTAGTTCTCAATGAGATGATTTATGACACTTGCAATTCAAACACATATTTATATATATTATCATCATCCAATCATCTTTATTATTATTGTTATTATCATCCAATCATCATTGTTATTATTATAGATTTCTTCACCAGAATTATCACATTAACACTGATGCATTGGATCATGAGCACCTCAAATGAGTGTGAATGATTATGTCGTGTGTTTGGAAATTTGCACCATACAGTTGAGCTAACAGAGTGAAATGTAATGAAACAGACATTCAGGAATGAGAAACATTGAAAGATATAAGAAACATTACCAGACGTGACGACACTTTCGACTGGACAAAAAAGAATGGCTAACGAACGAAGAAAGACCAGCAAACCTAATTCACAAATGGTGGACAAACAGATGTTGAATAATTTGTCTTTGCCCTCAAAACCGTCGTCAGCAATGGCTATCACCCCTCTTAAAAGTAAACTCAAATCTGAGAGCATAGATGGAGAGAGTGTTGAACTGGAAGATAACAACCTCGATCTCATTGTTGTTGGTCTTGTTGTTGTTGTTGTTGATGATGGCTTACATGGTGTTGGTGGTGTCGTTGTTGCATGAAAAGGTTTATTTGTTGTTAATGGAGTTGAAGTTAACGATGGTGTGGTCGTATGTGTTGTTGTTGTTGTTGGTGCTAATGTTGCAGTTGTTTGTGTAGTTGTCATTTTGTTACAATCAACATTTGGCTGAGTTGCTGTTGGTTGATGTAGTGTTGAAAAATTATTTGTTGTGGCACTCAATGAATTTTTAAACTTTTCATTTTGTGTCGTTGTTTGTGTTGTTGTTGTTATGTGCGTTGTTGCCTGTGTTGTTGTTACGTGCGTTGTTGCCTGTATTGTTGTTTGTGTCGTTGTAGTTCTTGGTGGTGATAATGATGAAGATTGAGGTGATGACACTGATGACAATGTTGAGGAGGAAGAAGAAGACGACGACGATGACGATAGTAGGATGTACATGATTCTCCTTATTAGTCTCAGTGCACTTGTTCGTTCAGCGTCATTATTCGCGTAGATATCAAGGGATCTGAGAACATATCATCATGTCCATTACATCACATACATCATCACGATAATATATATATATATTCACTCATATATTATCACAATGTATCATAATATAACACATCATAATTGGCAGCGAGATGGTGTAATGGATAAAGCGCCTGGTCCTGCTGTTGCAGTGACCAGGTTCAAAAGCAAAGAAACCCCTGCTTGCCACATGTGACGTAAGTCGTGCAGTGCGTGAATTTACGTGTATCATTTACCTACATGCTTACGTGCCAGAACCAGAATAAGTGAGTATGCGTGATAGTGTACGGTAATCAACCAATCAATCAATCAATCAATCAATCAATCAATCAATCAACAAACAAACAATCAACAAACCAACCAACCAACTAATCAATCAATCAATTAATTCTTTTACATCAGATTTTGATAATGATCAATCCAGAAAATTAAAAAAAAAATATCATTTGACCTTTGAACTTGAAACTTCAGCGTCAAAACACACACACACACACAAACACACACACACGCACACAAACACGCACACGCACACACAAACACACACACGCACACACAGAGTTAATAATATGGATGATGATGGTCCATATGCAATACTGGTAAACGTTTCAATTACATAATGTAATGGGAAACATGCTCTATCATGCAAAACATGTCTGGAGTGAACCAGAGAGAGAGAGAGAGAGAGAGAGAGAGAGAGAGAGAGAGAGAGAGAGAGACAAACATTGATTGAAAGAGACAGAGAGAGTCAGAGAAAAAAAGAAATAGAAAGAGAGAGAGAGAAGAGAGATAAAAAGAGCCTGAAAGAGAAAGAAAAGGCTTAAAGAAAGATATTGAAATAGTTAAGAGATATAAAAGAATGGAAATACAAAGGAAGAGATAATAAAATGAAGAGAAGAGGAGGAAAAAAAGAGAGATGACTGATGGAAAGAAAGAAGAAACCACCTGACAATGAGGTAGTGGAGTTTCAAGTTGAAGATGATTCCGACAGTGGCCCGACAGTCACAGAAGTATCTCAGTGAACGCAACGCCCCAATCCTCAGTTCCTTCCATTTGCTGAAAAGACCCTGCTGAAGGCTGTTCAGTTGGTGATCCACCATCATCATTCTCATCATCATTCTCATCATCATCATCCTCTTCATCATCTTCATCATCATCATTATGGAAATAAACATTCAATCATTTGTTTGTACGGTGTCTCTTCAGAATGGTGGTTACATGCATTCAAAAGTTACTATCATCGTCACAACAATAACAGTTGAAATTCGAATTACACCATAATAGTTGAAGCGTGAATGACATTAACCATATTAGAACATCAGCTGTGGGCATGGAGAGGCTGATGTGACCACCCAGTCTGGTCAGGTACCTGACAAATGCATTGTAATAGTTCAACTTCGTCGGGTTCAATTTCGTCGGGTTGGATGAATCATTGGTGTTGATGCCAACTAAGATTTCCCTCATCACCTCATCTGGCACTGTTAATCAACGCAAGTACGATGAACAACTTCATCCACACAGACATAATGTAAACATAAACAACAACCATAAACAACAACCATAAACAACATCCATAAACAACAACCATAAACAACAACAATAAACAACGACCAGTTAGTTAACTTCATTGATCAATAATCTTCAAGCTGTGTCTAGTTTTTTAATTCTCCAAAAATTATTTTGGCTAGAATAAAATTTAAATGAGAATATAATTTCATAGGGTGAAATAATAATTTTGATTTGCATTCAACAAAGATACAACATTACATGCAAATACTTATTTGAAGTTCTATTTATTCATTTTTTTTAATCTTTAGATATTGTTTGAATCATACATAACAGGTGCATCCGTGCAATTGAGAGGAGTAAGAGGATGGAGAAATTGTCAACTACATTCATAGCCAATCGAAAAAGAGCAGAAAAAAAAAGACTAACGTTTTGTAAAATCAATTTTTGAGGTTTCATCATCTAGGGCTTTGCGTGCTTTAAAAATCATTTTAATTAATTAATCAACAATTAATTAAAAAATTGTTTAAATTAATTACTAATTGAAAAATTAGTCGAATGAATGAATGAAAAGATGATAAATACAACAACTCTCATCAGACACACAGGCAGTCTTCCTCCCTCAAGTCTGCCATTGAATGAATTTCAATTTTAATAATAAACAGCAGTCACAATAGTAATATAAATTTTTATGTGCATTCAACAAAGATATAACATAACACAGAGATATTTATTTATAATTGTGTTTATTCATTTTTATCTATATATTTGATTTATTAATTTTATTTTGTGTCATACTAGGCCTGTCTACATGCAATTAATAGGAGTAAGAAGGTAAGGTTATAAGATAAGACGGTAGTTCCCAATGTTGTTACTCTGCACTATTTTAAAAATTAATTGGGTAGATGACAAAATGACCATCTGACTATGATTACTAGTGGTTTTTTATTGAAAGATAGATATAGATGATCCTCAAACTATTTGAATTTATATTTGGCATGCTGATTTTGAAAAAGGTTAATAATTGGTAGTTAAATAAATAAACAAGATTGAAATGTTAAATAAGTAAATACTTGTATAAGTTTTTATGAGAGCCAAAACTAGAATTGTGTCTCTGATAATTTATGTTATGATTTCTTAATTTACTATAATTTTTAATTAGTAATATTTTTACCTATGCAAGGTAAGTCTCAATTTAGAAGCCTTAATGTTAATTAAATCTTTAAGAGTTAATAGTATATTTAGTTTTTAAATAGTTTTTTTTAACTTTTTCCAACCTAAAAACTAAATGAATAAGTACAGTTAATAAAAAAATAACACATAACTTATTAAATATAATATTTTTTAATTTAATTTCAATAAATAAGCTCATTACTAATCTTTCTAGTTAGTAGACAAGTAGATTAGAGAGTTGATGAAATTTCTAATTTAGCAAACTTTCAAAAAACATGAGCACAACAAGAAGCAAGAATGCTTTCATTAAAAATATAAATAACTTAATTCTTAATTCAATTAACTGCCATTCAATTCAATTCAATTCATTCATTCATTCATTCAATCAACCCTCGCACACAAAATTCAAAATTGTCCGCCTGTGTGTTTGCATGACAGTAGGGCTGTATGTCTGGTCTAAATCTACTTTTTAAACTTTTAGAAAAATTATCACACTCTCACCTCTAAAAATTCTAGATCTGACTTGTTTGGTGGTTCCACTCATGATTGCTTCGTTTGTTAGTTAGGTGTATATCTGTTTGGGGACTGCACGGACGATCCCAACTAACCGTTCCGTATCATTCTTCCACTTTTACATATATTTTTGTGAATTCAACTAAAAATAAACGTGAATGAAAATGAGTAAAAGTTAATTTAAGCAAAAAGCAGTTGTCCTGTATCAAGCGGAATAAAATCCTACAAAATATAGAAAGAATAAAATTAAATGAATTAATGAGCAAATTAATTAATGAATAAATAAATCTTGAATTAATTCTATAAAAAAACATTTCATTTTCAAATTAGTATAATTAGAATACTTCATTATATAGTTTTCTTATATTCATTATTAAATGTTTGAGTTTTTGAACTGTCTACAAGTTAACACATTGAATTATATATAGTTCCATGAGTTAACACTTTCTTTCTGTAATAAAATTTTCTATTTAGGCATTATTCTATTTGGATTTGAAGTTCTTTTTCAAGAGAGGATTGTACAACTTTGACAGGATCATAGAAAATAACAATTAACAGCTTGACATATAATCAATTTTATTATAAACATTTTGTTGTTGCTGTTGTTTGTTGTCATTGTCATTTTTGTTGTCATTGTCATTTTTGTTGTCGTTGTTGTTATTGCTGGTCTTCGGTTCTATTGACGTAGGTTGATATCTTAACGAAATTTAGATAAAACATTTAAACATGCATATTTTAAAATAACACGCGTTGGTACTGATGGTATTATTGAGACATTGTTTGTCTTGTGATTTTGAAACGGTGTTGAAAATAATTACGCATGTATTATATATTGTTTGCTGTTGCTTGTTTGTTTGTTCGCCTGTTCGTTAGTTCGTTCGTTTTGTTTTTTTTGTTTGTATGTCGTGTTTCATGTGCATGTTTATTTGTAGTTTAATATTTATATTTCGATTTGTGTGTCTGTACAATTTGTACCGTGTATTTATTGATACTCGTGCATAAGCATGTTCTTTTGTAAGTATTTCTCTCTCTCTCTCTCTCTCTCTCTCTCTCTCTCTCCTCTCGCTCTCTCTCTCTCTGTGTGAGTGTGTGTGTGTTTGTTGCTATTTATGGTCTTCAGTCCTATTGACGTCGAGCATTTAATAATAAAGTAAGCATGAATGGCTGCTTGATTATAATGATATCTTTCTTGTGTTAGATGAATTTGAAAATATGATAGATTTTATTGTGTATACTTTTCCTATGTATGTGTGCATGTATGTGTGTGTGTGTGTGTGTATGTATGTATGTATGTATGTATGTATGTATGTATGTATGTATGTATGTATGTATGTATGTATGTATGTATGTATGTATGTATGTATGTATTTTTTTTTGACATTTTATTTCATCAAATCAAACAATGAAATCAGAAAAATGAAATCAATGAAAGGAAATGATCTGGAAATCGAAAAAGAAATCTGGACTTCTTGTACTGATCACCAGTGTCAATTTGTAATAATGATAAATGAGTAGCTTTAAACAAATAAAAGAATTCAAGGTACCCAAACATATTATAAAGAGTAATTCTAATATTTCAAAACTGTTCCGAAATATTAAACATAATTTTAAAAAAAAAGTTCAATATACCTAAACACAATATAATGTAGGTTATAGATATTTCAATACTTCAAAATTGTTTCGAAGTTTAAAATTTAATAACACTTTGACTAACTTCTAACTTTTGAATCTTATCTTATAGAAATACCACGCCAGAAGCACATACACTCACTCACGCGCACAAAAACACTCACGTAAACACACACCTGTTCATCCACACACACTCACACAAGCACAGCACTCATTCACACACACACTCACACAAGCACAGCACTCATTCACACACACTCACACAAGCAACCACATTCGCACACACTTAGACACACACAATGCTTATATGAACATCTTTCCCAGATAACTAGATGGTGGTGTCGGGATCTAAGTTTGTTAAAAAGTTACGTAGCTTCCTTTTAAAGAGTTGTATACTTTTGATTTCATGTAACTGAGGAGGAAGCAGTTCAGCCCAAATTTTTGGTCCAGTAAGTTTAATACTTGATGAAAATAATTTAATACGGGTTCTTTGTGTGTAAAAGAATTGGGTGTGTCTTGTATGAGCAGATAGAATAGAATTGCTTGTCGTGTAAAGGTGGTCTAGAGGAGTAGGAAGAAGTTTATTAATAAATTTGAAAACAAGTATGGCTGTGAAATAGTAATATATAAACCTTAATGGTAGAATATTGTTATTTGCAAAAAAGGATTTAGTATGGGCAAAAGGATTAGTATTAAAGATAAGACGTATTGAACGTTTTTGAGAGAGCGTAATGTTGTATAAGTGACTTTTAGGACTGTTTCCCCATACAGTTATGCAGTAGGTAAGATGGGGATAAATAAAAGCCTAGTAAAGGTTTAGTAGAGCAGACTGAGAAAGTTTGTATTTTATTTTGTAGAAAATTCCAATTAGTTTATTGACCTTTTGGGAAGTTGATTGCATGTGGTAGTCCCTCGAGAGGTTATCTGTTATATTGATACCTAGGAATTTAGTTGAACGAGTACGATTAATTGGATTGTTGTTAAGCAGCAAGTTTAAATCTTGGACTTGGTTAGTTAATATTTTGGGACCAAAAATCATATAAGAACATTTGGAATGATTTAGTAGTAGTTTATTTGCCAGAAACCAGTTGGAAAATCCTGACAGTTCTTGGTTGATGATGTCTCGGCAGCTGTTGATGTCGTCTGGTGTAAACAAAATGTTCGTGTCGTCGGCAAATTGGCTAATGATGAGACGTTACAGAGGTCATTGATGTAGACTAGAAATAAAAAAGGACCCAGTGTAGATCCTTGAGGAATTCCATTCTGGACATGAGTTTTATTTGATTTGAAGTTATCGATATAAACATATTGAGAACGCAAGGAGAGATAGCTCTCCAACCAATTGAAAGCGATTCCCCTAACACCATACCACTCAAGTTTTTTTAGGAGTATGCTGTGGTCAATTACATCAAATGCTTTTGAAAGATCCAGAAATAGGCCAACAGATAGTTTTTTGCTATTCATACCGTTTAGGACATGTTGGGTGAAGTCTAGGATAGCAAGCTCCGTTGAATGCTTGGCCCGGAAGCCGTATTGGCTGTTACATATAATGCTGTTGAGATTGAAGAAAGAATTTAATCTGATGTACATTATATTTTCCAGAATCTTGGATAAAGGAGACAACAGAGATATGGGTCTGTAGTTATTTATATCATCCATGGATCCTTTTTTGTGGATAGGAATAATTCTGGATATTTTGAAGGTATCTGGAAAAATTCCCGTTGATAATGATAAATTGAAGATGTGGATTAAAGGTAAAGTTATGGAATGGATTATGTTTTTTATTAGGTACATGTTAAGGCCATCATCGGAGTAACTGTTTTTATTTTTCATTTTACGGACAATAGATAGTAATTCGCGTTCCGATACAGGGTTAAGAGATATGGATTGAGTTATAGTAGGACCCAAGAGTTTCATGGGGTCAGCCTTACCCGGTAGGAGGTTGAAAGAATGTTCGATTGAAACGTTTGCAAAGTGTTCGTTCAGACGGTCGCAAATCTCCTGTTTGTTGTCAACTGTTTTGTTGCTTACAGTGAGTTTGGATATGGATGAGTTGGGCGGTCTTTTGTTTAGCGCACATCTTATCAAATTCCATTTGGCCTTGATGTCGTTGGGAGAATTACTGAGTTTATTTGTGTAATATTCTCGTTCTGTTTTTCTTTTAATGGTTGTAAACATGTTGCGGAATTTTTTGTACTCAGAAATATTGTTTGGAGTAGGATTACGGAGGCTTTTAATGAAGAGCTTGTTTTTTTTATTGGATAGTTTTTTAATATGTGTGTTGACCAAGCTTTTGTTTTTTGGTTTAACAGGTAAAAATGGAGCAAATGTATTTATCGCTTTATTGAGTATGGCATATAGCTGTGATGAGGAATCATTAGCATTGTCTATCGTGATCACTGACGTCCAGTCTTGAGCAGATAACGAATGGTTGATGTCATATAAAGATTTTGGAGTCAGAAGTCTGGAGTATTTTTGTGGTGCAGAATAATTAAGTTTATTGAGGTTAGATGCGATGGTAAAAATAGGAAAATGGTCTGAGAAGTCAGATAAGACTGTTCCAGAAAAGTGAGTAGTAATATTATTTGTGTAGATATTGTCAATTAACGAGGAAGAGGAAGACGTAATGCGTGTGTCAGAGGTTATAAGTGGAAAAAAGTTGTACGATGATAGAAGGTTGGAAAAGGCTGATACATGAGGATCAAAAAAAAAATTTATTAAGATCGAGATTGAAGTCACCAATTAAATAAGATTTATTGGGAGGTTTTAGTGTAGGTAAGATAATTTCAAGTTTGCGTAGTAGTAGATCAGGGTTGGAATTAGGCGGTCTGTAGATTGCAATTATCTTAAGTTTATGCATATTAACTGCGATGTCGACGGAAAGAAAGTCAATAACTTCATCATCCAGTACGGCTTCGCAGTTAACTAAATAGCTGATTCCCTGTTTGATGAAAATCCCGACACCACCACCTTTTTTGTTAGATCTGTTTTTAAAAACAAAGTCATAATTAGGCATATTAATATATTTAACAGAGTCATTATTTAACCAGGTTTCAGAAATTATGATAAGTGGAAAAAAATTTGAAAGGGAATCGTTTAGTATTAACAAATCTGCCATTTTATTGAACAAACTACGACTATTGGCATGAATAATAGATAAATTTTTATCAGTTTTAAAAAAATTGTTAAGTATGAGATTGTTTAAATTGTTTATGGTGTAATTTTGAAAGTTATTGATAAAAATGTCTGAAAAATTAATACTGTTATTGGATGGGTTGACAGAAACTAAATCAGAAGATGTATCGCTGGAATCAGGCAGGTTAGTACATGGAGAGTTGCTTGTGTTTCTATTCATGATTGGTTATTTGTTGCTTGGCCTTTTTTTCATTATGCAGGAAACGCCATTCTCGTACAATTATATTTTTGGGTATGATGTTGGGATCGTTGATTTTAGGAGAATCTATTTTGTCAATGCAGACACGAAACATTGATGAATCTTGGTTGTCTCGGTTGGTGTGGGGAACTTTGATGGCTCGGTATTTTTAAATACCGGATAACATGATAACACGTTAATCCCGCATGATGATAAAAATTCGCTGACATCGCTGGCTGAACATTTCTGGATGTTACTCATTGAGTAGACACGTTTGTTGTACAGAACTTTATCGGCTTTTAGTTTGCAGTCAACTTCTTTTTTACCAATAATTTTTGGAGCTGAACGTTTGTTTGAATTTGTATCTGCTTCAATGTTGTTGTTGTCAGTGTCGCTGGTTAATGCGCGCGGGCGTTTATTTTTTCTGGTGACAAGGGTGAACGACGAGTCTTCGGTCGGGGTTCTTGAAATATCGGACCACAGGGGTTTTCCAAGCTGGACGGTAGAGTTGGCAAATGGAATATTCGGCAAAACAGTAGGTTTAATGTTTTCAGAGTTGGCAGTTTTACAGTTGTTTTCAACATTAATATTTGACAATAAACTTGTTTTGTTTTTTAAGACTTGAATATCATGTTTATTAGTTTCGATTATATTGTTTAAGCGCACCAGTTGAGAGTGAACAATGTCTCTAATTTCGTTTTTTAAATTAACAAAATTCAAGTTAGCTATACTTTCTAACTTTGGAATTTTTACCATATTATAGCTGACAAATATTGAACATTTGTCTAACATATTGTTAGTTTTCAGATATTTAAAAAGCGAGAGACATTCAAGTAATTTGTCCTTTTTTGTGTTCCCGTGCATTTGTAATTTGTCGTTGTTATCCAATTTTAAGTTTTCAATATCGCTTTTCAACAATTTAGTAGCAGTAATAATATCCTCGTTTGTGTAAAAGTCAGATATGTTGTTTATAAAAGTTTCATTATCAATTAATTCGACATTATTGTTTACGAAATAGAGCAATTCGTTAATCACAACAACACGTGCCGCCATCTTGCCATATGTATGTATGTATGTATGTATGTATGTATGTATGTATGTATGTATGTATGTATGTATGTATGTATGTATGTATGTATGTATGTTTGTATGTATGTATGTATGTATGTATGTATGTATGTATGTATGTATGTATGTATGTATGTATGTATGTATGTATGTATGTATGTATGTATGTATGTATGTATGTATGTATGTATGTATGTATGTATGTATGTATGTATGTATGTATGTATGTCCAACAGTGAAGTAGCTTTGAAGTGGGCTTCTCTAATTGGGTTGCGTGCATTAGTATCTAATGAGGAATCGCTGATGATGGTGATGATGATGGTAATGATGGTGATGATGATGGTAATGATAATGATGATGGCGATGAAAATGATGACGATGAAAAAAGTAATTATATTTTAAAATTTTAACATTTCCATCCTTGAACGAGTCAAACAGTTGAAGAGAGTATCCAGTTCCATCCACAGCAACCACCATCTTCCTGTCGGCACCCTCGCTCCATCCATCCTCACACATTCATCACTATCTACTGGCTTTCCACACTTTTATATCATCATCAATATTATCATCAACTTCCTCATCATCATCATCACTATCCTCATCTTCTTCTTTTTCGTCATCATAATCATCATCTTCTTTTTTTTCTTCTTCTTCATCATCATTATCAATGATGGTGTTGATGCTAATTCCCTTCATCCCAACTCCATCCTCACTCCCACCAACCTCATCACACACCATCCTAATTCCCACCAGCTTCATCAACTTCGCCATCCTCATTCCCACCAAAAATTAAATGGACTACAACGACGAAAATTGCCTCATAAAAATATTTGATGATAGAAAGATAGTGGTGGCAGAAAAAAAATTAGAAGAGACAAAAATGGTGAAGAATGATGGAGAGAGAAGGAAAGATGGAAAGACGTGAAGAATGAAGGATGATGAAAAATATGGAGGAAACGGAAGGTTAAGATAGAAAAAAATTGAAAAAAAAAATAAATTGAGGGAAGAGAAAAAAGATGAAAAGAGGAGAGAGAGAGTGAGAGAGCCGAAATTTACTTCTCGATATGAATGTTGGCGGGCGGACGGCGAGATATGACGCGAGATTTGCACTGGCGCGTTCGTAATTTGTAATTTCTTTTCTTTATCGTCCGAGCGGGCTGAAATATCTTTCCTACATTCGTTCCATTTCTTGAGCGCTTTAATGGTGCCCATAGATCAAGTGCTGATGTGGTGGTGTGTGGCTGTGTGGTGATGAGTGGTGATGTGTGTGATGACGTGTGTGGTTGTGTGGCTCTGTGGTGATGGATAAGTGGTGGTTTGTGTGGTACTGAGTGGTGGTGTGTGGTGGCTTGTGTGGTGGCTTGTGTGGTGGCGTGTGTGGTGATGAGTGGTGGTGTGTGGTGGTGTAATGATGTGTAGTTGAGTTAGTTGTTGTGATGACGTGTGGTTGTTGTGGTTATGGATTACATTACGTTTCAATGTGATCGCATCAGCATCTTTATACAACAAAAAATTATTTCATTCTCCATATTTTGTCATTTCAGCACTAAATTTGACCAAACTATTCATGTCACATTGTCACCTAGATACAATTCGTGTTATCATCATCGTCATCAATGCAAAATTACATCATTAAATCGTCACATCATCACACAAGTTGCATCATCACATCGTCACATCATCACACAAGTTGCATCATCACATCGTCACATCATCACACAAGTTGCATCATCACATCGTCACATCATCACACAAGTTGCATCATCACATCGTCACATCATCACACAAGTTGCATCATCACATCGTCACATCATCACACAAGTTGCATCATCACATCGTCACATCATCACACAAGTTGCATCATCACATCGTCACATCATCACACAAGTTGCATCATCACATCGTCACATCATCACACAAGTTGCATCATCACATCGTCACATCATCACACAAGTTGCATCATCACATCCTCATCACAACGTTCAACAGCAGCAGCAGATGACCACGTAAAATTTCCTAAAACTTGTTACTGACTGACCAATGTGTCGATTGTTATTATTCAGTCGCATCATCCCATCATCACATCTTCATCATCACATCTTCATCATCACATCTTCATCATCACATCTTCATCCTCACATCCTTATCCTCACATCTTCATCTTCACATCCTCATCATCACATCTCCATCCTCACATCTTCATCCTCACATCTGCATCATCAAATCTTCATCTTCACATCCTCATCCTCACATCTGCATCATCACATCTTCATCTTCACATCCTCATCCTCACATCCTTATCATCACATCTTCATCCTCACGTCCTCATCTTCACATCCTCATCATCGCATCCTCATCTTCTCAAAGTTTAGTCGTCACATTATATTGTTATCACAGGGTATGATATAACCACCGTCGCTATATCATCACAATTCATGACAAAACATCACAACATCATCACATAATCACCTCATCTATAACATCACAAAACGTCACATCACTAAAACATCATCACATCATCACAACATCATAACAACATCACAACAACACAACAATGTCCCAACATATCACCACAACATCATCACATCATTACATCATCACAACATCATCATATCATCACAACAGCATCGCAACAACAGCACAACAACATCACAACAACATCACAACAACATCACATCACAACAACATCACACAGGTTGTATCCTATCCTCTCATCTCGAAGAGATAACAAAATTCAAAAATCCTTAGTTTTGAAAGTTATGAATGAATGATATAATTTGAAAATAAAGTTTTGGTGATGATGATAATGTAAACAATGATGGTGATGATGATGATGTGAACAATGACGGTGATAATGATGGTAATAATGATGATGATAATGATGACGATGATGATATGAACAATGATGATGTTGTTGATGATGATGACAACGGCGGCAGCGATGATGATGATGATGATTTGCTTGAATGATGGTAATGATGATGATGATGTAAATAATAGAAGATTGAGTTGTACAAGTCACGTGGATCCCTGGTGTTTTTCTGATCTTTCTTCTGCTTCCGTACCTGTGACGTTGTGCCTTTGTGTGTGAGAGAGCTGAGAACGCACTTGCACACAACTTTTTTGTATTTTTGTGTATACATTTGTCCGTACGTGTACATATTTGTATTTCGGCGTATCCATTTGTCTGTATGTGTACATATTTGTATTTCTGTGTATGCCCATGCATCTGTATGTCTATGCATCTGTATGCATTTGTATATATTTGTATTCCTGTGTATGCATTTGTATGTATGTGTATCATTATATTTGTATATCTGTGTAAGTATTTGTCAATTTGCATATATACTTATATTGTATATACAGGCGTATTTTTGTATTTAATAAGCATATATTGTGTTTTTGTGTCTGTGGTGTGCTCCAACAAACGTTTTAATTTCAAATGTAATTTGACTGTCCATGTTCATTTAACTGTCCACTGTCCATTCCAAACTCAGTTTGGTAACAACAACCCATTCAAACTCTTCATCAACCTCCGTTCCGCAGTTTCCTTCAGATGATTCATGTTTGTTTTAACATTCCTGACAACAACAACTGAAACAACCACAACCACAAAACAACAACATCAACCATCAACATCAACAACAATAACATCATCACAACAACACAAAAATCATCAACAACAATATCAACAACAACAAAAACATTAACATCAACAATATCATCATCAACCACATTGACAACAACAACAAACAAAAACCACAATAACAACATCATCAACAACATCAATAACACCAACAACATCAACAACTACATCAACAACAACAACAACAACATCAACAACAACGACATTAAAGATTAGCGAACATGGTACTTCCATTAATTGAGATTTGGGAATTCGTTTAGACTTGAAAAGTTCTCAAATCATCAAATAAATAAATTTTTCAACTCATTTTAGTTTAGAATTAACTGTCTTTGTTGAACAACAATCATTCAAAATAATCTTCAAGGCTCTATTTTTTCTCATCTAATACTTAATGATTGCATGAGTTGTAATTCATTAGACAATTTATTTGATGGTATATGATGGTGATATGATATATGTTGATAATATATGATACATAATGATGATGATATATGGTATATATGGTGATGATATATGAAGATGATGATAGTGATGATGTGAGAATGTAAGATAATGAATGATGGTATGTGATAACGATGTGATGATATATGAGGATGATAATGATGAAGAAATAAGATGATTATGTTTATTTATACATTATGATGATGATACACAATGATAACGATGATTATACACAATGATAATGAAGAGATTGAAATAAAAATGAAATATACAAGTTAGGGCTCATTATGAACGTAGACAGGCAAGCTAATTTGAGAGTAACAAATGGAACTACCCACAACGAATGCCCATTCACTAAATTTCACAAATAAGAATACCTAACTTCAAAGAGAAACAATTTGTATACGTGCATGCATGCATGCATTTCTGCTAATATATGTACCCATGCATTTTTGCCTGTATAGTGTGTTTGCTTGTATGTATGCATGTATGCATGTCTGTCTGTATGTATGTCTGTCTGTCTGTATGTATGTCTGTCTGTTTGTCTGTCTGTCTGTCTGTATATATGTATGTATGTATGTATGTATGTATGTATGTATGTATATATGTATGTTTGTATGTATGTATGTATGTATTTTGACATTTTGACATTTTTTATTTCATCAAATCAAACAATGAAATCAGAAAAATGAAATCAATGAAAGGAAATGATCTGGAAATCGAAAAAGAAATCTGGACTTCTTGTACTGATCACCAGTGTCAATTTGTAATAATGATAAATGAGTAGCTTTAAACAAATAAAAGAATTCAAGGTACCCAAACATATTATAAAGAGTAATTCTAATATTTCAAAACTGTTCCGAAATATTAAACATAATTTAAAAAAAAAAGTTCAATA